TGTCCCATATGTACAATTGTGGAAGGACCCTGATGTAAATATTTGTTTTTTCAAAATGAGGATCTGTAGCTTTTATTAGGTTCTCAAAGGAGTCTAAGAGCCATTAAGGTTAAGAATCACTAGCAGATTGTTTGAAAGCATGGCTTGCAGAGTGACCCAGACCTAGTTCAAATCTGTTTTTAGAAACATGACTTGTAACAATTTATTTAACCTCTTCTTTAATAAAATGGGGCAAGCAATCTCAAATGTACAGGGTGTCTCCAAGGAGTCAATTGTCTATTACATTTAAAGGGTTTTAGCATGATGCCCGGAGTGGAAACTCATTGTCATTAATATTGTGCCTTAATAATCTCTAGAAGTCTGAATTTAGAAGCAACATAGCATAAAGGATTTGTGTCCTTAGCTTTAGAGATGAGGAGACCTGGCTATGGCCATACCCTTTGACAAGTCACTTAATTTCTCTGAACCTTCATCTTTACATCTCCTAAATAGCAGAAAGTAGCATTTTGGTGTATCACAGGGTTGCTCTAAGGAATGAATGGGCATGGTCTGGTGTCTACAGCCATACCCACCTGAAGGCATCCAATCTTGGAAGCTAAGAAATGAATGGGCAAATATATGCAAAAGACATGCACAAGGACTAGCCTATATTAGATGCTCAGTAAAACGAAGATGTCATACTCAAATGTTTGTCTCCTGGTCTACTGTGTGTCCTGTGATAGGACCAGTTAAAGATGATGAGACTGAAACCAGGCCAGGACATGGAGAAGACCTAACCTCGTACCGGGTTTTTTTGTTCTGAAGTGCACTAAAGAAGTTACATTTTGTCTTTACTCTTTTCTCCTGATTATTTTTAATATGTTTTTCTTTCCTTTGGGAATTTCCTTTACTTCTTTCTAGCATGAGGATGGATAGAGTTGGTTATAGGTGGGGGTGGTGCCAGAAGCAGGGAACATAATTGAAGTCTTTTTGTTTAGAAGTCTGATGGGAGTAATACAGGAAGAAAAAGGAGAGGGAGGGAGGGAGGGAGGGAAGGAGAGAGAGAGAGAGAGAGAGAGAGAGAGAGACAGAGAGAAAGAGTGTTTGTGTGAGAATGTGTGAGTGTGATAGAATATTTGAAGTATGACCCAGATGAAATAAATATCCTAGAATTACCAAATAATATCCTTAAATTTTTGAGTTCATTTATGTAAAGTCAGTTGGAAGTTAATATTCTCATGCCCAAATATTTACTAGAATATAATATTAATTTTAAAAACCATAAAAAGCTAATTTTCTTTGTCCAAATTATCCCAAAGCAAATGGGACATATACAATTTTGGGAGAGATTTGATGAATTTTTGAATAATGAGCTCTTCATTGAATCAGCTTCATTCTAGGTCAAGACTGGACATAGATGTGCATGTATGTATGTTTCTCGTTTCCTGTCTTTTTGTCTTCTGTTGTATGTCTGGATTTTATACTGTGCTCCCTTCCAGGAGACATCTGGTAGCATATTGTCCTCTCTGGTTTTGAAAGTTTTTTTTCTTGAAGCATTACCCTATTAGGGACTAGTCATTGTCATTTATGTAGAAGACAGAATGGTTCTATCTTCTACATAAGATACTGTTATTGGTGAACTCTCTTTTTGTTGGGAACTTATCTTCCACATAAGATAGAACCGTTCTATCTTCTACATAAGATAGAATAGGGAACACTGTAGAATTCAGGACTTGGGCTATTCTGTTCCAACTCTGACCTTAACCAGCTGAGCAAGTCTAGTATCTGTGGAAGTGCCTTTTCCTAATAGGTGTTCGATAAATGGCTTCTCATCCTCTCTGAGCATCACATTAGTCATCTGTAAACAGAAGAGGTTGGACGAGATGACCCTCCAGCTCTAAATTCTGTGATTATATTCTAAATGTTAGGACAACATGGTGCTTACTGGCATCACCATTAATGAAATTACACATCATTTATCTTATAAAGAAAAAGTACACACCAATAACAACAGACCAGCCAACCCTGAAAATGAGAGTGTGTGGATTTTTATTGCACCCACAACTCTCTGGTGAGGCTTGTGATGAATGTGAATGTCTTTGAAAAAATTTTTCAGCTGCCCTGAGGTGACCTGAACTGTCTTTTTGTTTGGGACTTGGTTACAGGAGACATGTCTTATTTCAGTGTCATTCTGCATGCTTGAGACTTAGAATGTAGCTGAAAACAAAGAAAAATAAAAGTTTGTGCTTAATAACTGTTGATTTTACCAAAAAAAAAAAAGTTCTCCTATCTTCTTGTCTGTTGCCTGCCTCTTTACTCTGATCTTGTCTCATACTTCACAGAAAAGGTTCACAAGAGATTACCAGGTGGGATCTCACTCATATTTCCTTCCTTCCATCTCTAGAGGTACCCGTAAAGCTTCCATCTTTATCCTGTTTCTTCCTGTCATAGCAGATGAGGTGTCCTGCAAAGACAAAGCACTGCAAAATCTGAACATTTCCTGCTAACCTCATTTCCTGTCAATAGGACTAAGACCAGGACCTGGATTCAACTCTTCTGCTTCCTCCTCCTCTTTAAAAACCACACATCAGTCTCCAGTCATCCTAAAAAGATTTTTAGTAATGAGATTCAGCCAAATAGTGCTCCTTTCTCATATGACAATAGAACAGAATAATTTCCCAAGTTGTATCTCGCTTCACACTTCACATAACCAAACTATTAAAGGCATTTTTGTCGTATCTTTTTTTTTTTTTTCTTAGAGGGAAACAAGAGTTTCTCTCTCATTGCCCAGGCTGGAGTACAATGGCATGATCTTGGCTCACTGCAAGCTCCACCTCCTGGGTTCAAGTGATTCTCCTGCCTCAGCCTCCTGAGTAACTGGGATTACAGGCATGTGCCAACACACCCAGTTAGTTTTGTATTTTTAGTAGAGATGGGGTTTCTCCATGTTGGTCAGGCTGGTCTCGAACTCCCAACCTCAGGTGATCTGCCCACCTCAGCCTCCCAAAGTGCTGGGATTATAGACATGAGCCACCACGCCTGACCTGTCATATCCCATTTTATGTAGCCTTATTCTTTTTGTGCCTCACTCAAAATTGGATAACAGAAATGAAGAGATTTCTTTTTTGTTTGGCCTTTCCTGTAAATCTCCATTCCAGACTTGCTCCAAATTAGGGTAAATGTTAACTGAAGTGGGAAAGCAAGAGGAAGGCAGGGGACATTAAGCTCTGAGGAGGCGGTCACTTAAATGGTTTACATCTCTGACTTGACGCCCTTGTCTATTAATCCCATTGCCCTGCTGTCTCCATTTCTTACCTGAGTGAGTGTGTCCTCCCATGCGAGCGGCCTCTGCAATCCCACCCATGTGGCTAACACCCTCTCCAGCAGGCAGCGTGGGCAGTGCGTCTTCATGAGGGCGTTCGCTCTGGGGAAAAACAGCTCTCGCCACACTCTCTTTTCTCTGCCGTCAGCAGAGGCACTTCCTCAGGCCATCTCCTGCTACATTTGTCCAAGTTTAACAACCCGTCCACATAGTTCCTCACCCAAAGCTGTCTGGTTGGTTTCTATTGTTTATTGTGTGTGTCTGGCTATCTCATTTCTTAGGAAGGTTTTTTCTTTTCCATTTCATTCTGGTACTTTGACCACAAATCCCAGATACTTCTCACCACAAGAACTCTTTAACTTTTCCTTTCCCTATTTTAATGTTGCACAGCTGTAGTCTAGAGACAAGAAACCAAGGGGATTGTAGTGGGAGAACTAAAGAGTTAAGATTCATGGAATCCTTTGACTCACTTTTGTGGCCTAGAACAAGTTACATTTTTTTTCCTCAGTTACCTTTTCTGTAAAATGTTTATGAAAATATAAATCTACTTCATTTTTTGGGTTCTTTGAGAATCGCTACAGGTAATTTATGGAAGAATCCTCTGTAAGAGTAAACTGTTACACACACCTACTGTTATTTCTGTTAACTTTATTAGCAGCAGTATGATGACATTCCTAATCACGGCTGGGCCTCACAGCAAGAACTTTCTACCTCATTGTAGAATAGGTGGAGAGCATGTACCCCAAGTCTGACTGTCAACATTTCAAGAGTCTTTGTTCTGGGGCTGCCTTTGGGGAAATGCACTGTGGTCCCTTCAAGCTATTTTCTAGGCAAAGCAGCCATCCCAGTGTGTCAGCTACTGCTCTAGGCCTCTGCTTGTGAGGGACTTCTGGCTGAAAATGGTCAGTGCCTCACTCACTGAGAAGTGAATGAGAGGGCAGTCTGAGCTGCCTATTCATATGCCAAGGTTCTTTGTACTTTGTAGTAAGTGGTATTTTTTCCTGAAGATGCTGGGTGAAAGTACTCATCTGTCAGAGCCTCCTCGAAAAAAACCTTGTAATTCTTTATGTCAAACTTTTCCACCAGAAGCTATCAGGGCAAACTGATCCTTTTCTCTACACTTCTGTGTTCTTTTGCAGACAAGCAACTTTGTGGTTGTGTTAGATAAAATTATGTGCTTTTTTTTTTGGCATTGTTCAATAGAGCTAGCAATGATATCAGGAGACATGTTGCTACTGTCAAACATGCAGCATTTATGCACAATGTCTCTCTGTGCCTGAAAAGGCAAATTCTCATTTCAAGAGTCATGACTACCTCCTTTGGTTTCCAAACCCCCTTCCATTGAGTCAACAACATGGTGTCTGCCAGAGCAAATGGCAGAATCGGGTCAGATTAGCATGCTTGCCAAAGATTTAGGTAAGAGGCATTATACAAATGTCTAAATTATTGCAGCTCAGGACTCTAAGATTTCTAAAAAATACTTTCACACAATTCATTATTATTGGTATTTGTGACTATCTGATAAGCTCCAGAACCTTTTTCTGCCATGGAAAATAAATCACTTCTAACAGCTGGGGTTTTTTGTCTTTTTTTTATTTTATTTTTTTTTATTTTTCAACTTGAACTTTTTCCCCCAAACACCACATGTCATCACCATAGTTTCCCCTGTTGAATACTTTTTTTCTTTCTTCTGCCTTAGGATGGTCGTCTGCGAATGAATGACCAGCTGATTGCAGTTAATGGGGAATCTCTTTTGGGAAAGTCCAACAACGAAGCTATGGAAACACTTAGGCGGTCAATGTCCATGGAGGGAAACATACGAGGGATGATCCAGCTGGTGATTCTGAGGAGGCCAGAGAGGCCAATGGAGGTGAGGCAAACCTTGACTCTCCGAAGCAAGTTGCCCAAATTGCTACCAGAATATGCAGACTTCCATTCCTAGTATGGCAGCTAGATTCATATTGATTTTCCAACTGGGAAAATATGCCCCAGAAGGGCTTTGATGGATTTATGTGGGGAACAGGTGGTTGTATATTTTGGGTATAATAAAAAGGTGTAAAAATGTGCATATAAAGTAAGTCATTTATCAAAGGTAACAGGTCTATAATTTCTACCTTTTTCCCCCAGAAATTCCAAGAGTTCTAACTTGTTCATAAACATCTTTATATAGTTTTTTGGTTGATATGCTAGCAATGTCCATACCTTAGAAAGTGTCTAATCAGATGTGTACAGTGTTTAATGTGAAGATCATTATAATGTGATCAGCTCTCTGTATGCTCTTCCATAATGTGCATATGAATAATGTGGACCTGAGACTTAACTAATGTAACATTTTATTTATTAAATGAGCTGCTTGCTTGTGTTATTAAATAAATGGGAGGGTTTTTTTGAAAACTTTTCTTATGATTTTTTATAAGTGTTTTAAAATATCAAGAATATTTTCACTTATATATGGAGTCTAAGTAGGATAGCTTTAATAATAATATTCCTAACATTATACATATAAACATAAAAATACCTAAAACATTTTCTCTTATATATGAAGAATAATTATTTAATGATCCTAAAATAATTTTAGAAAAAGATAAGAAGAAAAAGTTAATAGTACTAAAAGTGAAGAAAAACATCAGCAAATCACACATTTTATTATATCAGGATATTCTCTAAGGCCAAATTATGTTTGTGTAATACAATAATATACAAAGTAAAAGAAAACTATGTTTAAAACTAATATAAAATATTAGTTTTAATAATGAGTTCAACTTAAAAATTTAAAAATAAGCCTTATTAAGTTAATCAAGGATAAATGGTAGTGGGGCTCATTGTAGTTAAAAGCTGCATCTCTGGAGTTTCGAATGGCTTGGGTTACAATGCTAGATTTACCATTTCCTGGCTGTGTAAGTACATACATAATTGAATATTCAGTATTCATAGTGACAGATATTGTTGTCTGTTTTATCCCTTAATGTGTCCTTGGTTCCTGCATGTAGTACATTCTTAATAAATATTGAGTGAATGAAAATGTCACATCTGAGACCTACTTCATCTCAGATGTGAGAGTAAACTTGAGTAGTAAAATTAAAATTATATCTTACCTCGTTCTATTATCAGCTACTGGAAAGGAACAACTGTACCTTTAATACTCTCCTTTATATAACCTTGTAGATGTTATATAAATTTAAATTGTCCAGTTACTGGAGACTAAATATCATGAACTCATTTTCAATGTTTGCGTCTGCTTAAGTGACAGTGTTCCATAAATATTTGATGGGCTTTACTTCTGAACCTAGTTGTAACATCCTTATCTACCACTTCTTGCCCTGAGAGAATTGATCCCATCTGGTTTAGGATGGTCATTACTTTAGAGCCCTAGGACTCCATGGAACCCATTTATTGGAGTGAGTTGAAAGGACAGACTGTGAATGCCTGAGTCATCCCTTCTGCGCATCTGCATATCAGATCTCCCTTCAAATTTTTTAAACAAAGATACCTCAACTAATAGAAGAGTCTAGAAGAGACTGCTATAGCATACCATACCTGTGCAGACAGGAAAAGTTAAAAAAGAAAATGACTATGGTTCTAAAAGAGTTAATAGATGCCAGCAGATAGGCGTCATATATTTTGGCACATGGAGCTAGCACACAACCATTTGCATTCCCCTTACTGCAGGTATTTTCATTTTAAGTCTCATACTCTGATGTGGATTGGCATTATTCCAGCAGAAGAAAGTATGAAACTTTCATTTGTTGCCCACCCTCAGAAGTGTCTTGTTAATGAAGATCACCAGGGAAATGATCAAGAATAAGAACTGGGTCAAAAAGCATTTTTTATCAGGACATTTAAACAAGATCCCTAATATTTACATGCTTTCCATGGGGAATGAGCAGACACTTGACTCTCTGCTACTGAGCATCTCTGAGGTACCCATTAAAGATGAAAGAGCATTATTTCTTATAAAGAAAGAAGACTAATGTATAGTTTATCTTTATTAAATTTAAAAAAATACAACTATTTGATCTGCAAACCTGTGTTTCACTGTGTCAGAGCATATTTTGTCTACTCATGTTTTTGCTATATTCTCCAGTGGAAAAGCACTTGCCCTCCAGTACAATAAAAAGCATCTATAACCTAGAAAAAGGTCTTAGCACTGTTGATACATTCAGGCAAATCAATTAGTTAGATTTGCCAAGATTACCAAAATGGTTGCTTGAACATTATGATATTTCAAAAATTGAAGAAGCTACTTAAGAAAAGTCAAAATATATAGTTGTTGGGGGTTTTTCCCACATTACCCAGATGTACAAGATGTGTAAACAGTTTTGATGAGGACCTTGTGAAGAATACATAATGAGCCCTTGATTGAATCAAAATCGTTTTAAACTGAAACATATTTTTCAGAGGATGAGCTTGAGGTTCAATTGTAATTCTATTTGAGCCTAGAGACTTGGTATTAAAAAATGGGTTATGACCTGATTTTGTTTTTCCCTTCCCCAAAACATTTCCCTCCCTGCTGCCAGCTCATCGTGGCAGAAGCAGAATATGTTTAAAAATCCATTATATTTTTTATTGGCTGGGACACTAATGGAGGGCTCTGCAACAGCTCTATTTTACAGGCTGAATACTTTAATTAGGCTGGTTACTGATCAGTTGTTGGGATATTGATTGTGTCATTTATCAAAGAACTGGGGAAGCAGAATTTTTTTTTGTTTTTGTTGTTATTGTTAAAGCATAAGGCTGTGCTAAGCAAGTCCTACCTCTCTTTCCTGCTAGAGCTCCAGCTTTAATTTAGGATGAGCTTGCCTCCTATACCAGGCTCAGTTTGACAAGCAGTTCAGAAGAAAGGATAACACATTGGGTGTGGGAAAAGTGTTACAAGCCTTGACAAAAAGCTAATGGACCTTCAGCAGCTGAAAACATTTTAATTACTAACAATGCAAAAATGGAATGTTTTAGATATTTTGTTTGACTAGCTAGACACTGAATTTTTGTAACTAAAGAGGAAAACATAACTCCAATGCATCATTTTAGCCATATGCTGTTCTCAGAAGAGCTTTGGGGATCAGATGGGTGTTCCTATTTGTGGCACATTCTTCTCACAGTGGTCAAGGAAATAGCCGTGAGATGGCTTCCAAATCATTTACTTCGTTAAAGTACATTATTAAGGCCTGGTGTGGTGGTCCATGCCTCTAATCCCAGCATGTTCAAAGGCCGAGTTGGGCGAATCACCATGTCAGGAGTTCCAGACCAGCCTGGCCAACATGGTGAAACTCCATCTCTACTAAATTTACAACAACTTAGCTGGGTGCAGTGGTGGGTGCCTGCAATCCCAGCTACTCAAGAGGCTAAGGCAGGAGAATCGCTTGAACCTGGGAGGTAGAGGTTGGAATGAGCAGAGATCCTGCCACTGCACACCAGCCAGGGTGATACAGTGAGACTCCATCTCAAAAAAAAACTGCTACTAAGACAAGTAATACAAACAAGAGCAAACCCCAATTCTCTTTGCCCCAAACTTGTTGAAAAATAGTTCAGAGTTCTTTATAATCAGCCTCCTCCGATTCCCCCTTCAGCACCTGTGGAAGATGGATCATAGGGGTGTTATTCTGGGTACAGCAGTTTTCAAAAAACTGAATGTGTTTACAGACTGTAAAAATCAAAACAGGAAGGAGAAATCCAGGGCAGAGGGCACCCTCAGGAGAACGGCTGTCTGGCATTGTCACAGTGGTTTGGTTTAGCTCCTGGCCAAAGACCTAGCATCTGCACAGAGACACACTGGTGGCATTTCAGTGGCGAATCTGCTTGAGTTCTGACTTGTCCTAGAGCATATGCACTTAGGCCCAGAGAGGGAGGGGAACCAGCTGGTTGGCAGAGAAACACCCTTGGCATGAACTCTATTCTTGTGTTGACACTGCCACAAGCTGTACTCCCAGATGGAAGGAAATTTGAAAGAAGCCAGTTGTAAGTGGGAAAAGAGAATAATAAAGTTAATCCTCTTTTGTGTTGGCTATCAGCACTCCTAATTCTTAGCACCACATTGTCAGTACTTTTTATTTTATACTCAAAGATGTTTTCACTGATAGGACCCTTTTGATTTTCCACAGTTAGAGAACTTAAGTGCAATAGATTCTTGAAAGACTATTCATAAATCGATCATTCTTTCATTTTGCATCAACTGACCAAGTTGGAACATATTAAAAATGCAAATGTAATTTTTATTTTCATCCCTTAGGATCCTGCAGAGTGTGGGGCATTTTCCAAGCTGTGCTTTGAGAACTGTCAAAATACTGTAACCACCTCTAGGCGAAATGATAATAGTACCCTGCATCCACTTGGCACTTACAGTCCACAAGACAAACAGAAAGGTAAGAGTCTATCCATTTTTATCCACTGCAAATGGAGTGAGAAAACACAAAAGTGCCTTTTCTATCTAAAGGAAAAAAAAAAAAAAAGGAGTAAAGGGGAGTTAATTAGACTAAGTGCAGACTTTGTTACTCAGAGTCACAAACACCGAGAGATTGGGGGGAGAGCTGACTCAGAACTTGTGAATCAGATTCCTGGCAGTGCCTCTAGTTTAAGTGACAGTTTCTGTGCTTGCTGCCCCAAACATGGAGGGTTATATATAAAACAAACGATCACTGGAGAATCAAAGATGGCAAACTGTTATTTTGTAAGCTCTTCTAATATTGGAATTTACCAAGTATAAATAACTAACTACCAAATTTTAAAATGGATGGATTGATAATCCATAAAATGGTCATAGCATGATTCACAGATGATACTGAATTCTAATATGAATGTGGTAAATGTGTAAGTATCCTAACCTGAAACCATCTTGTGATGGTTGGAATGTTCTTGTTACTGTCTTGCTGCAGTCTTCTCTTATTATCTGATGTGGATCACATTTCTAGTAGACTCCAGATGTAAAAACTCTGGGTTTTCCTCTTTGTTTTTCAAAATACATACTTCAGGTCACCAAGAAAAATTGTTTTATCTCCCTGTATCTCTTTTCTTTATTAGCTTGCATTTTTTATATTGCAAAAGCAATACATATTCATTGCAGAAAATTTAGACAAAATAAATTTTAAAATTTAATTTTACTCATACTTCTATCAATCAAAGATCCTAATCAATGACATTTTATGTATATCTTTCTGGACTTTCTTATGAAAATATTTATACAAAAATGAAATAATGAAATGTATGTAATGTTTAGGAAATTGCTTTTTAAATTAAGAGCACATTATATGCCTCTTACTTAGTCATTGAATATTTTTCTTCAAGATCACATTCAGTAGTTGCATGGTGTCTTTTGAAGGTAAGTATCATATATTATGTAATCAATTTCTTATATTTTGAACACTGAAGATGTTATCATAATTTAACTGTGTGGGAACAAGTTCCAAGCTGTGAAATTACTCCATCATAGCATACTTGTAAATCTGAGGTGGCGCTAGAATTAAATTGTCTCATTAGAATGGGATGTTGTTGTTTCCTCGGAATTCCTCCATTTTAGCAAGAGTAGTAGCAACAGCTGCTACCATTTATTAAGTGTTTACTGTCTGTTGGATACTGTGTTGAGCAATTTGCATGTAGACTCAAAAGTGGGTAATATTATCTTCGTTTTACAGATGAAGAACTAGAAAGTCAGAGGGAGTAAATAATTTATCCAAGAATGCATGTTTGATACATGCAAAGTCTGGATTCTATTCTTGTCTTCCTGACTTCAGGTTTGTCTCCCAAACCACGGCATGGGTCTGACTTACATTGGTCTCTTGAAACACTGGAGTCCTTTCACCTACTGAGAATACCTATTAGAAGCTGACTTTAGGACGAGTGCGGTGGCTTACACCTGTAATCCCAGTACTTTGGGAGGCCAAAGTGGGCAGATCACCTAAGGTTGGGAGTTCAAGACCAGGCTAGCCAACACAGCAAAACCCCGTCTCTACTGAAAAGGAATACAAAACATTTGCCAGATTTGAGGGTACATCCCTGTAATCCCCGCTACTCAGGAAAAAAAAAGCTGACATTACTTAGTATACAGATACAAAAACACTTAGTATGTCTTTTTTCATCTTAAAGAAATTAAAAGTTTTCTTGACAGGACAAGATTGCCTTTTGAAATCTTAAATTGCAGTAGGAAAACAGCCTGGGAAAGGAATAACAAATTTTCTGCAAAATAAAACAGGCTTCTTACTACCTTGAGATCATAAATGTGGACGTTTGTATTAAAATATCTAGCCTTTATATAACTTGATTGGCATTTAATTCTCTAGCAACATGTGACCCAGTGCCTAAGTGTAGAGTTTAATTTCTAGTTACACCAATGACATCCAAATGAACAGTAAGCACCTTTTGTTTCATTGTTAATATCTATAAAATACAGTTATGTGCCACATAATGACATTTAGGTCAATTGCAGACCACATATATCATGGTGGTCCCATAAGATTATAATGGAGCTGAAAAATTCCTAATGCTATACTATACTTTTTATTATCATTTTAGAGTACACTTATGAAAAAAAAGGTAGCTGTAAACAGCTTTAGGCAGTTCTTTCAGGAGGTATGGAGAAGAAGGCATTGTTATCATAGGAGATGAGAGCTCCGTGCCTGTTAGTGCCCCCAAAGGCCTTCCAGTGGGACGAGATGTAGAGGTGGAAGACAGTAATATTGATGATCCTAACCCTATCTAGGCCTAGGCTCTTGTATGTTTGTGTCTCAGTTTTTACCAAAAAAGTTTAAAAGGTAAAAATATATATAACAGGAAAAGCTTATAGAAAAAGATAGAAAGAAAAAATATTTTTCTATAGCTGTACAATGTGTTTATGTTTTAAGCTGTCATTACAAAAGATTCAAAAATTTAAAAAAATAAAATTTATAAAGTAATAAAGTTACTGATATTAAATATTTTTATAAATTTAGTATAGCATAAGTACAGTGTGTTTGTAATGTTCACAGTAGTGTGCAGTAGCATCCTAAGCCTTCACATTTACTTATCCTCACTCACTGACTCACCCAGAGCAACTTCCAGCCCTGCAAGCTCCATTCGTGATGAGTGTCCTGTGCAGGTGTACCATTTTTTATCTTTTATACTGTATATTCACTGTAGCTTTTCTGTTTAGATACACAAATACTGTTGTGTTATAATTCCCTTTAGTATTCAGTAAATGTTGTGCAGGATTGTAGCTTAGGAGCAATAGACTACACCGTAGAGCTTACAGGGTAGGTGGGCTAATCCTTCTAGGTTTGAGTAAGTACACTATGATGTTGGTATGAGGACAAAATTGCCTAATGATGTTTTTCTGAGAACTTATCCACTCATCTTCACTTAGTGACGTATAATTCCTTCATTGTTGAGGTGATACACAATGTAGTTTCAGAAGACACTGAGATACTTAAGTAAATGGAATAGTACCTCTGCAGAGAATGGCAAAGGCTAAACTAATGAACGCATAGAAATAGTTGAACTGTAAGAATACACCCAGAAAATATTAAATAATACGATCCATTCCAAGCACATGCTAAAAATAAAATTCAATAATAATTTGCCTTGGAACATCAGTAGAATGTTTGGGCTCAGTGTACGTTCTGTACAAATAGTCCTTTGGGCACAAGTGACCCCAGACAACCACAGGGAGATTTCGTCTGTTCTTTTCTTCCCAGGACATAGATTTAGGTAGAACAATTTTTAGATCAGTGGAAAAAAAGACATGTAAATTAACTATCTACAAGGTTCCTCTTTCTCTTTCTTCCTCACCTCAATTTTCCAAGTTGACATAACACATTTATTTACTATAAGAAGCTACTCCATTATACATTTTTTTTTTTAGAAAGTAGAGAAAATCTATTCTTATATTATCTTTGTGGATCTGTGCTACAGTACCACATAATAAGATTTAGGCCTATCAAAACACAGACTCATTACATTTTCATTGTTAGAGGCCAGTAGATGAAATTTTCTTACTTTTTATGTAAACCTGTTGATTTAGAGACCAAAAAATTACCTCCGACTTTGTAAACATGATGCCATAAAAGACTATCATGGCCGTCACCTTTTTGTAATATTAATGACATTCTATATTTGGGGAACCATGTCAGGTGGTAACAGGCCACTAAGGCTTATAAAACCTGAGTGCCAGTTTTACAAGAACCTTCCACTGCCACTACCACTTTTTTCAAGGACCTTCTTTAGAAAAACAAGATTAACTTGACAAAATGTAATGTTTAGTAAGGAGAGGAACCGTTACAGCCAAAACATTGACCTTTTTTTTCTTTCCTTTTTCCTTTCCTTTGTATATTTTAAAATCCAATGTTGATATTCTGTGTTCCATTTATTTTTGTAATAATAGTACATACCACCCACAGTTCTCGGTTATTTCATTTTTTTTATTCCTGTCAAGCTGTTACACAGAGAAAAAGACATTTTTAGAACTAATGTTTGTAGAAATCGTAACACCAGAAAATTCACATTTGTATTGAAGAATTGCTAGCAATGCCTGTAGTGAAATAAGTGTGGTGCTTCAAGATGGTAATAGGGACGGAGGTTGTGTCCCAAGGGTTTACTATAAAATCCTATTAAGCATTTGAATGGTAATGAAATGCACCAATACTGTATTTTCTGAGGAATCTTGCTGGCAGATCTTACCCTGGGCCAAGGAATCGCCTGTGCAGTTTGCCTCTGGTTAGTATTACCTCTCTTTTCACTGCACTTGTCTCCCCAATGTAGCTCTTCTCTTGCTTCTTCCTTTCAGCTTGAGTGCACTCCTGTCTTAGGCACTCACTGCCCCCCTAGTCTGCCCAGCATCACCCACTGAGTGAGACCTTTCATCTCCATCTCAAATCAAATCCTGTGGTTCTGTGACCTGTCTCAGTGGATCCGTATTCCCTGGGGTCCTCTGAGACACATCACAGGAGAATTATTTCTAATGTGTATCCCCCTGGGAACCAGTATGTATCTATCCCTCTATAGCATGTAAAGCGCTACCTCTGGAATGGCGATCCAAGATTGAATTATACATTCCAATTTGGCTAATGTTTATTGGATACCTCCAGTGTGCAGAATATACTATCGAGAGTGCAAAGATGAATGCAGTGCTATTATTGACCTTAAGAATAGTCTGAAACAGGGGTCAAAAAACGTTGTCCTTAAGGTGCAAGATGGTAAATATTTCATGTTTTGGACTGTGGGTCTCTGACACCACTCAACCCTGCCATTGTAGAGCAGAAGCACTCATAGGCAATATATAAACAAATTGGCATGGCTATTCAGTAACACTTTATTTGCAAAGGCAGGTGGCAAGCTGGTTTTGGACCAGGGCCATAGCTTGCTGACCTCTCATCTGAAGTCATGATCTCTTTTACCCATTCTTTTCTGATGTGGCCTTGATAGGATAGAGCCCACAAAACAAATTACAACAAAAGATGATAATTAAAAAGAATTTGGCCATCAGTGAAGTAACGACTAGAGGGTGACCTGTCAACATTCACAGGCATAGATATATATGAAATAACCATCAAGAAGACTGTACCTCATACACTTAATGAAATCCAGAAATAATATTATAGGAAAAAAGAATTCCAGACGTCTACACTGAAACAAGGCTTAACAAAGGTGTTTGGGTCCCAAGGGAAATGAAAATTCCTTACAGCATATGAATATGTTTAAAAAATATAACAAGCATAGAGTCAACAAATAAGATAACTACCTCAACAAGTAAGATGCTTTCCTCTACACCTACCACTACTTAAAAATAAAACAAGTGGTTCACATGAGTGTCATAAAAATTAAAGTTAATGATTGTAATCAAACTTGAAGTAACCAGAGAATAGGCTGTAGAAGACATGGGAAAGTAGAAAGAGGAACACGAGGAGAAAGTTATCTACAGTCTAGTAAAAGAAATAGACATCGATAAATAGATAATAGCTTGATATATAAATAATAAATATATACATAGTTTTTATTAGAACTATAGAGCAATAAATACATACATAGTTCATTGCATAAGTGGCATTTGATAAATGCTATTCTTTATTTTAGGTTCAGGGTACATGTGAAAGTTTGTTACACAGGTAAACTTATGTCACAAAGGTTTGTTGTACAGATTATTTTATCACCTAGGTATTAAGTCTGTATGCGATAGTTATATTTTCTGCTCCTCTCCCTTCTCCTACCCTCCACTCTCAAGTAGATCCCAGTATCTGTTTCTTTATGTTTATAAGTTCTTATCATTTAAAAAAAAAGATAAATGCTATCCAAAAGTTACTTTACGTAATATTAAGTAACAGATAAACCTAAAATGTCAGTGGATAGATAAAGACTGTGAAAGTCTATTTCTTGGTCCTATCACTGCCCAAGGAGGTTTGGCAGCTGTGCTCCAGGCAGTGATTATAGGACCTAGGCTCCTTCCATTGGTGGCTGGGCACCTTGTCACCTGCCTTTCAGGTGATATAGTTGGGGAAAGGAAGAGAGTGAGGAAGGTACACCCTCTCATAACCAATGAGACTGGGAATGATGTTTATTATAGCAGCTCCCATTTTGCAGTCATATAAGCAAAGATACTAAGGCAGGAACACCCAGGGTGTGGTCAGGGAATGGTAAGCTAATGTGTAATGGGAGATAAAGTTGTTTACCAGGATCATAGATCTTTGTTGCATAAGCAATGTGTGCATCTGAAGTGATTTGGGGCCACATGTTACCTGATCACAAATACATTCACCATCACTATGGAAGATGGACTGAGAGGTTGAGGACAGAAGATGAGAGTCAGCAGAAAGGAAGTCGTCCCAGTGTGTCCGTTGTCCCCAATTTATATGAAAGTCCTTCTGCTCTGTTTCTCTTAGCAAGTCTTGAATGTCTGACTCCTGCCACCACTACGAAATCAATGGGCCCCCAGGGGTGGAGGTGGTGCAGGGGCACAGTGTGGGCTGCCTTTGTGCTCTTTCTCCTGGTCACCTCCTTAGCAGATCTGCTTCATGGTTCATTCCCAGGGGCTTGTCAGCACTGCTAACAACTACCTCCACATCAGTCGAGTGCCCAGGGTAGAGCTTGGACCAATTCCTTCAGTGTATTTATCAGGGTTCTCCCAGAAACAGAAACAGAGTGTGTGTGTGTGTGTGTGTGTGTGTGTGTGTGTGTGTGTGTGAGAGAGAGAGAGAGAGAGAGAGAGAGAGAGAGAGAGAGAGAGAGAGAACAGATTGGAAATGGCTTGCATGATCATGGAGACAGGCATATCCCAAGATCTGCAAGGTGAGTCAGCAAGCTGGGGTTGCAGAAGAGTTGATGGTGCAGTTTGAGTTTGAAGGCCTGAGAAGCAGAAAAGCTGATGGTTTTCTGTCTGAAAGCAAACGGGCTTTAAACTCAGGAGAAGCCGCTGTTTTCCTTTGAGTCTGAAGACAGGAAAAAGCCAATGTCCCATGTCAAAGTCACTCAGACAGGAGGAATTCACTGTTATTCAGGAGAGAGGCAGTCTTTTTGTTCTATTTATGCCTTTAAGTGATTAGACAAGGCCCATCACATTAGAGAGGCAGTCCACCGATTTAAATGTGAATCTTGTTTAAAAACACCCTCACAGAAACTCCCAGAATAATATCTAAGTACCCTGTGGCCCAGTGAGGTTGACATATAAAATTAACCATCACATCAACCATGTGGACAAGCCAAAGCAGGTTTTGTCACCAACAGCAGTTCTCAAGGATAGAAAGGTTTATCTCTTATTCTGTCATTCAGGGACAAATCAGGTACATGTCTTATCAAATATGTCACTGTAATACATATACAGTAGAATTTACAATCCATGGAATAATAATTTTATGTTTACTTAACAGTTTGCATTTACAAATCACTGCTTAAGTATAATTAATTCTCATATTCCTCCAGTAAAGGTATTTTGTTGCCACTGTATGGATTTGAAAACTGAGGCTTGGAGAAGTTGAGTAATTTGGCAAGTTCACATAGTGGTAGGGTTGGAAACATGACAGCCTTGCTCCAAAAACTGTACACTTAGCCAGGTTGTTCTATAATGCTTTCCATACACTAGTGAATACGGTGAATATGGTTAGTAATTATGAGCATTCGATCAAATAATGTACAAGGCTTAGTACAGTGTCTGCTATACAATAAGATCTCAACAACCTTACTTGTTATTAGTTGTGGTGACATTAGGGGTACATGTCTATTTTTCCAGTACAGAACAGACTGGAGAAGTGTATATTTTTAGTAGGTGGGAAAACCAGGATTTAGATCCCTGTCTTTTTGGTTTAAGGCCTTAAACTCAGGTGTCTCCATTACGGCACAGATGGAGAAAAAAAGAACGTGTGTGTGTGTGTGTGTGTGTGTGTGTGTGTGTGTGTGTTAACCTCCACTATGTCTAAATGGTGAGTAGATATACTATATCTCATTATTTTTTTAAAAGAAGTTTTTGCTACTGAAGCAAATGCTTTAATCACCATATAATCCAGAGTATTCACTATCGAGTCTTGTTTACAAAAAATGATAAGGCATAAAAGACACGACTTTGTTCAAATTCCACAAATCACAGGTAATGAGCATATGTCAGCCTTTTGTTGGTGGGAAAAGGTAGTCAAGATGCGTGGAGTGGGTTTGCTAGGGGTTGGCAGCAGGTCACTAGTGTAAAAACATTAGCAGACTTAGACTTCCTCATACAAGCGGCATTCATTCTCACAAGGATCCTTCAGTTCTGTGTGAGGACTTATTTATTTCAGGGCTGGTTTATGTGTTGGTTAAAACTGTATCTGAGAGAGAGACTGAAACCAAACCAGGCATTGAATGTTTCTGCTTCCACTTTATACAGCTTCATTTGTTCTTTGTTTATAGACCTATTGCTGCCCAATGACGGATGGGCCGAGAGTGAAGTTCCACCTTCTCCAGCACCACATTCTGCTCTGGAATTGGGCCTCGAAGATTACAACCACAGGTATTGATAAAATGATATATCGTAAATGTTCCTCGTTATTGTTTTTCTGGGAGAACACAGCAGCCTTATTCAGGAGCCTTATTTTAACTCTATTTCTTTTTGGAATGGAAATCTTATAGTATCTATAATTCCTTTCCACCAAAAGCTTCAGTGAAAGTTTCTCATAGATAATAGCTTAGATTGGGCATATTTTGCCTCCTGGTATTTGTTAAGATTCACCTTAAATTATTAAAATACTTAAGAAAATGGTTGAACTTTCCTTTACAAATTTAAAAACTAGAGCAGTGGAGCTCAAAGAAAAGTTGCATGGGAAGATATAAAACAAAACTGAGAAAATATAAAGCTTACAGTTTTTATTAGTAATTGGCAAGCCCTAAAGGTATTTTTAAAATAGATGTTCTAAGAAAGTTAATGGAATCTAAAAATTAAAGCAATACCATATATAATCAAAAATATTGAAAAGGGTACCCAATATTATATCCATTCTGTAATAGAAACTAAAAAAAATCAATAATTTTTAGAATCACACAAGCATGAGAGAGATTTACTAAGCATACATACTGTTTGACTAGGGGAATTCATAGATTTTGTTCTTCTGATGAGTTTTAAAAATCATTAAATTGTCCCTTTGCTATTTTCTGTATTTATTATGGCTGTTAGAAACTGTGTATTTTATTCCATTCTGTGTCCCATGATAATCCTGTGAAATTTCTTCATTTTTCTTGCAGCAATGCTAGTGTCATTTCTATTATGTTTTTTAATACAGTCTGCTAAAAATAAAGCACCATGCCAAGAGTATAGCTAACTCTGTTAGGTGGAAGCTCACCTATATTTAGCTATCGCTGATTCTTATACTTTTGAAGTTAGTTATCTTGCTAATTACAGCTTCGTGAACTAGATTGATAATCACAGTAATATTCTAGATCAGTATCTCTAGGGGTTTCATGAAAGAAAATGTGGACCTATTTAATTTTGTTCATTTATTTCCATTACCTGCCTTGATTTTGAATTGAAAATGACAGTTTGGTGGCATAAAAAAGCCATTTAAAACATAATTTCATTTGTTCTACCTTACTGTTTATCCTGTGTATATATGCAAAACAGTTGGGGCTGTGCAAAGCTTAATCAGATATAAACCCTGTCTTCAGGAAGCTGGTAGACCGTCAGGTAGACGCATGGGACAACTAGAACATGAGGGTTCCAAGTGACATTTGCCAGAAGGTGTAGATAAAATGCTCTGGGCATCCAAGGCAGAGGAAAATGCCTCCAGATAAAGGAATCAGGGAAAATGCTATGGGAAAAGTGTCATTTGAGCTGAACCTTAACTCATGAATAGCAGGTGGACATTAGATGAGCCCAGGAAGAAAGGGCATTTGGGGAGGGAAGGGAAGGCAGAAAAAACAGCACAGAGGTGGGAGAGTAAATTGATTTACAAAACTTGGGGGTAATCAGTCAGATGATAAAGCCCAGAATGCAAGAATAAGGTACACAGACTTCATGTGGTAGACAGTAAATCTTATTGGAGGGTTTTAGTAGGTGATACACATAATGAAACCTGGGTTTTTGTTTGTTTGTTTATTGTTTGCTTTTTAAGATGGAATCTTGCTTTGTTGCCCAGGATGGAGTGCAGTGGTTGGCTCACGGCAACCTCCACCTCCTGGGTTCAAGCCACTATCCTGTCTCAGCCTCCCAGGTAGCTGGGATTACAGACACATGCCACCATGCCCAGCTAATTTTTATATTTTTAGTAAAGATAGTGTTTCACCATGTTGGCCAGGCTGGTCTTGAACTCCTGACCTGGTGATCTGCATGCCTCGGCCTCCCAAAGTGTTGGGATTACAGGCATGAGCCACCACACCTGGCTAAAACATGGGGCTTTTTCGTGTGTGTATAAAATGGATTGGGTGAATGGAAGAGAGTAGGTATACCCTAGAAGCCAGAGACTCTTTCGATACCTTTTAGGGAAATTGCAGCCAAAGGTATTGAGCATCTGTGGAGGGAAGGCTAGAGAAAAGCACTCAGATGAGAAATCTTTAGGGGAGAGAGGTGGTTCAGAGATTAATTGGGATTTAGCAACTGCCGTTTTGGCTTCAAAGTGTCCATGGATTTCTTTGCTTCACTTTTCTGCGAAGCCATTCCTTTGTGATTTGGGGAGAGAAAAAAGTTTATATTGGTCCTTGCTCCTGTAAATCTTCATTACATTGATATTAACTAGTAACTTCCATCTTCTTTTCACTCTCTTCCTTCCTCGTCCCTGTGTTTCGGCCTCTGTTCTCACTTTTTTATTAGAACGGCCCTCTTAATCATCAACAGTAATCTCCTTTCATTGGAAAGTATGACATTTTCTTAGATTTTATTCTTCTTTTCCACTCCGCAGTATTTGGTTATTAAGTCATTCATTCACTTACTCATCCATTCTAAAGTGTTTCTGGAGCTCTGAGCCAGACACTATAGAAAGAACTCAAATGGATTGGAAAGCATCCCCACCTGCAAGAAATGCAGTGTCCTTTTAAAGAGACAGATACACAGATAATTAGGATGCAGCTAGCTAAGCGTTAGATACAAAATGCAATGAGAGCCTAGAGGAAAAAGCCGCTAACTTTGCCTGGAGTTGTCAAGTAAGTTTTCAAATGAGAGCAGTGTTTAAGTAGTTTATTGGAAAACAGAATGAAGTTTTCCAGTCAGAGAAGTGGCAGTAAGGGCAGTTTAGGTTAGAGAAACCAAGTGAGGGGAGAGAAGAATGCAGAGTGTGTTCAGTGTGGCTAAAGCTTGTGATATCTCAGGGAAGAGTCAATGGGAAGAGCATTGTCTGTCCTGCTTCATGGGTGCCCTGCATCTGCAGAGAGCAGTGGAGAAGCATTGAAGGGCTTTGAGCCTGGAGATGACAGTATCAGGCAGAGCAATTTCAGTAATGGAGGATGGAGGGAATGGCAGAAGCTGCCACAGACAAGGAAGCCTCTTAGACTTGGAACTAGCAAGAGAAGAGCAGGGCCTACCTGGAGAGATCAGAAGCCTGGGTATAGAAGAAAGGACAGAAACATTTTTAAAATAGAAGGAACAAGTCTTAAGCCTTGAAACCCTCCTCCTCCTAGGATCCTGTGACCTCCACCATCCTGCAAGCTGCTGCGTTGCCTAGGTGACCAGCAGCAGCAAGGGTTAGATGTGTGAAACTTGGAATGGAGGAAGGACTGGAAGGGAGCCAAAAGGGTTGAGCAAGAGAGGTTCTCCTGCCTTGTGCCTTTCAAGAAAAATGTAAAATCCCTCTCAAAGGAAAAAAGGGTGTTGGAGGGGTGAGGCTATTCTTGTAAAACAGAAAACTGCTATTGCATGAGGAATGAAGATTTTATCAAACTTAATGCCTGTACGAAATGAAATTAGGAAATTGCTGAACGTATTTTTACCATTATGCAATGATTATTACAGAAAAGTTTATAATATGTGGGTCTAAGTAATAAATAAATAAACATAAAGAAAATATATTTACTTTGAGGTCTCAGGCAGAGTTGAGCCAAATCAGCAGCAGATAGAATATATGGAATATTATTAACAGTTTAGACAACATTTGGTTGTTTCCCATGTTCATATTCTCTTTCTCTGTCTCTCCCTGTCTATTTCTTCACACACATACCCAAATCTACTCTCACTCATACTAGCCAATTGCTGGAGTCCATCTATGGACACCTGAGATTTCAGACATCATGGTTTTCAGCATCCCTCTCAAAATCTTCATCCTGTGCCTTTTTACCTCAGACAGTTCTTGAACATTCATTGTTGACTCTTATACATCTTTCACATTCCTGGTTTGTCACTGTAGTCAGGACACTGCCTTATGTTTCATGCTACCCTTATTTATTCATTAGGCAGCATAATTTGACTTTGAGTATCATTTCTGTTTGGTAGATTCCCTGGTTGTTCATGCTTTTATCTAAGACATGTCTTTGGCCTGCTGTCACCTTCCAGCTTCCCACAGCCTCCACTGTAGCCCACTCAGCCATGAGCACATGCTGACTCCTTTCAAAATTAAAATGTCATATTTTATAGTTAATCATTGTGTCACCCTCTCAATCCAAATACTCGAGATATGTAGCATAAAATTGCAAACGATTTTATTAGTCTAGCTTACATGTCTAAAATATTTTCACATGAACTAACTCAGTACTACACTTATTCATTATTCTGATATGCTCACATTGGCTCTAATCCTATGATGACTTATATTACACTCACCTCCTTAATATTTGTCAATCTGATATCAGCCTTATTTTGCCTTATTTCCATTTTGTACTGCAGCAAAGGGGGCCCTTTTATGAAAGGTGTTCAAAGTGTACACTTGGTCACAATCAAAATGATGGTAACATGTGTATGTATATAGATAGGTGTATAGGTATCTCATCAATTTAAAGGACATAATCAGATGTGCACATAAGATCATTTGTTACATTCATATGTACAATGCAGCCTTTTATTTATTTGATCATTTTTGATTATATGCCAACATTTGTCTAACAATTCATTTTAGACAGACCCTAGCTTGGATGTCACTGCATCGAGTGCCATTGCCACCTTACTTTTTAAATGAGGATTGGGATTATTGCTTCCCAAGAGTCTGGGAAAATTTGAGTTCTTATTCCTAATTTGTGAATTAATGCCTGGTTTAAGGGGATAATCTAAGACAATGAGTTAGGTTCACCAACACATTGTTCAGTTGGGCAGATTCTCTGTCTGCCTTGAGCAGAGCACTTTAAATGCAATTTGTTCTATGTTTTAATGAGGATTATTCATGTGGGTCCTACACCTCCTCCCTGGAGGCTTTCATCAGAATGTACAGCATCTGCTTTGATTAAGTATTTACTCTTCTATTATTGCACGATGTACACCACTCTATTGACACTAAAAACAAACCTAAAATATAAGCCACTTAATAGAAGGTGAGCAAGTCTGCACTGAAAATGAAAGGCTTGATGTTTGAAGATTCAGGATCAGCTACCACCTGTGTCCCAGGCTGGCAACCATCTCAGCCAGAGCTTATGGCTCTGGTCCCAGCTTTGCCCCTAGCCAGCTGTGTGACCTTGGAACGCCAACCCTCCTCTTTGAGCCTCAGGGTCTTATCTAAGAGATGAGATGACCTTTAGTCCCTTCCGGCTCTTAAACTTTTTGATTCTATGAAGTCCATGAGTCTTTCTGACACTAAACCTACATCATCACAATAGATCAAAGGATGAAAAACTTAAGTGCAAAGAAAGGTCGAATAACACATTTAAAGGCGAGTGCTTCCAAAACACCAAGACTCAGGGGAAAGCTCATGTTTGCAGAAGTATCTCAGAATTCTTCTTTAAAATGGGCTGAAAAAATGAAAGTATTGGTATTAGGTCAGGCTAGTGTCAGTAACATTAAGTGGGTCCAGGATTTTTGTTCACAAGTGGCATATTTTGTCATTACTAGATACCATATCTAATACACTTTCTATATCAATGGCTTCATGTATTGAGAATATACCCAGATACCAGGAAGGAAACCAAAAAAGTTACATAATTCCAAGGGAAGGTTTAAACTACCTGAGACATTTTTATGAAAACATATGGAATCTTTTCACTGGCAAGTGCCTTAGACCCTCATTCAAAAACCACATTAACGTACAGAAGTAAAGAAAAGGATCATTAATAACTCAGGTTGATCAGCTCTGACTGTGTGCTAGGTACTTTTCTCAATATGTAACATAGCTTACATATCTTCAAAAAACTTTAAAGAGTACTAAATTATATTCCTATTCATTTGATGGATGATGAAACTGAGGCCACCCACCCTGACATTTTCCTACAGGGGTCAGTCTCCTAATCATCATACCATATTGACCTTCTAAATCGCAGGAGAAAGGGCTCCTAGTCACAGACCTACTGAGAGTCTGACAAAAGCAGAGCTGTCAAAGAAACTGCAAAAAGCAGAGATAATGGGAAAAATCTCAGAAACTTACATCTTTTGGGAAGCAAAAGTAGATCAATTTATTTATCTGCTTATTTGTTAACTAATGTATCTATTTCTGTAGCATGCACTCTGTACCAGACACTAATGTCCTTACTTTACGAGTCTTCACTGGTTCTATTCTCTCAACAACTGTGTGAGGTAGAGAGTGTAACTTTACTCGTTCTATACATAAGGAAATTGAAGCCCTGAGAGGTCTAGTAACTGTCTTTGTGGGCACAACTAGTAAGTACTGGAGCAGGATTTAGAGCTGGGCAGACCTGCTCTGGCAGCCAGGCTCTTGAGCACAGTGCTGTGCTGGTGTCACAAGTATTTCCTTTTTGGGGTCAGGTTGGGGGAGGTGAGATCTGCCTCTGTCACCCAAGCTGGAGTGCAGAGGTGCAATCTTAGTTCACTGCAGCCTCAATCTCCTAGGCTCAAGTGATCCTCCAGCCTTAGCCTCTTAAGTAACTGGGACTTGCCACCACACCTGGCTGAGTGAGTGTTTTCTTAATCTACCACTGCATTATAAAAATGAGGTTCATTTATTCATTTAGCAATACTAGTATTGCTACATTCTAATTTTAATATTGCTCAAAAGCAGTATTGAATATGCAGGGTTGATGAGTTTCAAGAAAAGATTAAACTTATTTTGGTATTTTAGGTCGAAATTCTCCTGTACATTTTAGAAAGATTCTCATTCAAAACAGTTATTTTTGCTACTGTTTCGTTGCTTATAGTATCAAACTCCAACTGTTTGAAAAACTCAACATTAATACTTTCAGATTTTGTAAGGATACATGATTTGGGTTTTTATTATATTTGAAATTAAGATAGCAATTATGATGAGATGAGCCACCGTGCTTACCTTCCAAACAGGTGAGAGTATCAACGGGAGAAAAGGGCTATACATTTATATTAAAATTATATAAATATATATTATTTCTAGAACAAGAAATAAGTCATTCCCTATAAGTGTCTTATATAATACCCTCTATCCTCAAGTGAAATAAAATATTCAGCAGAAAGGAAGTTCTTTGAGAGTGACTGTAACTACAAAGAAACCTATAATGGGCATTTGATGTTTCTTGTGTCTAAATTGTCAACTGTGCTTTTCCTGTTATTTCCTGTTGGCACTTTTGACGAGCAGACTATCTGCTCTGTGTTAACATTAGTTTTAGAAAAAAGACCTAAATAAAGTAGAAAACCAAACTCCTACAACCATCAGTCATTCAACGGGATAGTTTTCTCTAAAGGATACAACGCTTTCACTTGTTTTTAAAGGAAAGGCATAGCTGAGCCCACAGAAATCCCTTAACCTGCTTGTGGGCTCTGCTAATGTCTGGTAATGTCTTTGAAGTGCTAGTGTTTTCCAGGCTCTCTTTACCCACTTAAAGTTAGATAGTGTACAGCAGGATCCCAGTTAGCAGAAATCAGCAAAGAGTAAAACACAATATTACCCAGGTAATATTTTATTTAAATTGTACAGTGTGATGAAGTACACCAAAACAGAGTTGCTACATCTCATAAAAGAAACCTGAGATTTAAGAATGAGTTTAAAATATGTGGTAAGGAGCTGTACAGAGTGATGAGTGGCTGTGTTCAAAATGAGAACTGCTTCCTCATTTTTTAAAAGATTTTATTCTAAACCTAAATACAACATATGGCTTCCTTCCACAGCTCTGGGGTGGATTCAGCAGTATATTTTCCAGATCAGCACATCAACTTCAGATCTGTGACACCAGCCAGGGAGCCTGAATCAATTAATTTGAAAGCCTCGAAGAGCATGGACCTTGGTAAGCAAGGGTGAGGTGACATCCAGGTCAGCTCTCCAGCCTCAGCCCATCTATCTTCCCAAATGTCCTGGTTTTGTTTCTTCAACTCAGACTTCTGGGAACAAGGTCTGCAGAAGCCTGAAGGAAGGAATAATGACCATTCCACCTTCCTGTCTCTTCACGCATTTAATTGTAATTAACCACCTCGTAAAACAAAGAGGAGTGATTTATTTTTACAAAATGATCTATAAACGATCCTCCCATTATAGATCACAAAAATATGATTTCTTTTGGAGTATCTGAATTCCAAAAGTATCTTTCACTCCTCTGTCTGCCTTTGCGTCTGCACTCTCGCTTCTGCCAGTGCATTTCCACTCTATGCAGGCATACCTGTTGCAGAGCCTGGGATGATCGTGTGGTCCAAGCATCCTTTGCGTTGGGCCTTCACATCCTTCTATTTTTCTCCATGTGAGATGGATAAGGATGGCAGCAGTGCAGAAGATTCAGCTTTTTAAATGCTTATCCTCAAATCCTGTGACACTGGAGGGACAAAGGGTCTCTTGGGCTTGTGGGCTTGCCACACTGATGGTGTCAAGGTACCCAGGGGTCCATGTCTGAACAACCTCATTGAGGTTCTGAGCACCACAGGGAACTTCTAGGTGACTGGTGGGTGCCAGGGCAGAGCAAGGGCCCCTGTCAGCTGTGTTCTACAAGCCTTGGGACATAATCAGATATCCTAGATTATCACTGCGCTCCCATGGGCTGTTAGAGAGAACCCTGTTAGAGAAAAGTACGGGTACAAAATACATTCTCAGCAAAGTATTTATTGCCTCATGAATGCTTGGAAGCCAAGCTTTGCAATTGTTTTTTCTCAAGACATATTATATATTTCATCAGTAACAATGAGAAAATAGAATAATCAAAAGTGTGTGCTCCACCAAACAATCTAATAAATAGTGCTTATCCGTTAACTTATTTACGGGGGTTCAGGAAAATGCTCAATCATGATGAAACAAGAGAAATTGATTCTATTTTGTATAAATTAACTAAATCACTGGGATGCATTTGTTGTAATCGCCTATAGTGAGAGACAGATAGAAACCTTAACTAGGAAGCTGTTTTGAACATTGGTCAGAAAGGGTATTTTCTCAAGCGTGAAACTTTGACAAACTAAAGGAATAATTTGTGACAGCGACACAGGTTATTACTAATAATTTAAGGAGCAGTTCATTTTTATAGAATGTCAGATAAACATTTCCTGTTCTGTCTTCCCAATTTCTCTGTGAAGAAGATGAATGGATCAAAACTGCTCTTATTTTTGAGGAGAGAAATATATTACTGTTTTATCATTTAATTAACACAGACACTATTATGGTTTTAAAAGGAAAAAAAAGCACCCATTTTAAATTAAGACAGAAAAAATACTATGAAATCTGAAAATGATATAGCCTAAGACATGTCCAGAATCAGTATTTTTGCTTACATTTTATTTTATTTAAATTTTTAGATGGAATCTCATTCTGTTACCCAGGATGGAGTGCAGTGGTGTGATCTTGGCTCACTGTAACCTCTACCTCTTGGGTTCAAGCAATTCTCCTGCCTCAGCTCCTGGAGTAGCTGGGATTGCGAGCGTCTGTCACCAAGCCCAGCTATTTTTTTGTGTGTGTATTTTTAATAGAGACAGGGTTTCATCATGTTGGCCAGGCTGATCTCGAATTCCTGACCTCAACTGATCTGCCAGGCTTAGCCTCCCAAAGTGCTAGGATTATAGGTATGCGCCACTGTGCCTAGCTGTTTTGTTTATACTTATTACCAAAAACTGTTTTTGACTTTTCTCTTCTAAACTGAAATAGTCTTTTCAAGATATATGAAGTAGTGGTCATTCTTTGCATTTTTTTATACATATGCCATAAATGACAGCAATAACAGTAAGGTTTGTTCATTTTACAGAATTGGTCAGGTTATGAGCTATTTTCTTCAGGACCCTAGTACCAAACTAAAAGCATTGGCTAAAATGAACTATACAGCAGAAATAATAACTTGCTATAAAAACAAGTTTCAAGTAATTATCAAAGTTTGGTCCTTTGCAGGAAGTAGCAGGCTAAAGCCAGAAGTCTTGCAGAAGGCCCTGAGCATCAGCATTCTAGGACCATTCTGATCCCTTCTTCCCGGAACAATCAGGGAGCCTAAAAAGTGTGTTAACTTTCTCAATGTGAAATTCACTTAGGTAATACCCCAATGGTAAGCATTTGAAAGTGTCTTTTCTGTTTAATTAGGAAAATAGGCTATTATCTATAGTTTCATCTCACTATATATGAATATATAGCACTAGGCAGGTGCAAAAAATAAATTTATTTGCTCAAAAGGTAGGTGACTATGTTTATAGGAATAATACTAGCAAGATCTTGATTCTTTAAGATGTTTTAACCTTCTTTAAAACATTTTAACAAGTATCCTATTTAGGTTGAATACCAAGTTTGTGCTATCTATTTTTGACCTGGAAAACTAGCGTTTTCATATGGTTCAAAATAAAAAAGATAGAACCTTCTATTTGTTGCATAATTAATTTAGATTGGCTATTTCTCACTTTATAAAGTCTGTAGGAATCTTCAAAGGCTTATGGGCCCTATCAGCACCTTTGTTTTTGTTTCATATTTGCTACTGAGGCCAAGTTAGTATTTTAACTTACATGTTAATGAGTCATTGTTCGTCTACTCAAGCTATTTTAAAAGTCAGCAGCTTCCATTTACTTATGTTCACTTATGTTTTCAAAGACAGACAATTCTGATTAAGAAAAATAAAGCCTTCTTATTCTCATCTCTTTTACCTATTCACCAGACACATAGTTTAAAATGTAAATCCTCTGCCAGGCACAGTGTCTTGCGCCTGTAATCACAGCACTTTGGGAGTCTGAGGCGGGTGGATCACAAGGTCAGGAGATCAAGACCATCTTGGCTAACATGGTAAAACCCTGTCTCTACTAAAAATACAAAAGATTAGCTGGGCGTGGTGGCACACACCTTTAGTCCCATCTACTTGGGAGGCTGAGGCAGGAGAATCACTTGAACTGGGGGAAGCAAGGTTGCAGTGAGCCAAGGTCACCCCACTGTTCTGCAGCCTGAGAAATAGATGGAGACTCTGTCTCAAAAAAAAAAAAAAATTATCCTGGAAAGCATAGTTGCTCGCGCATCTATATATCTACATCACATACGGTTTCTTTATAATAGTTGCATTGTGTTACATTTCATCTTCATTTATAGTTTTACTTTTCTCTTCCCCTTCTGATGGGGTGTGGACTTAATTTACAGTTATTTTGTGGTTGTTTGGTGGGTTTTTGAGTCCTTTGTGTTTGAGATTTTGGAGTTTGTTTATTTATAGCCTTTGCCAATGTTATCTGTTAATTTTGTCCCCTTTCATTTATAAAATATTGTTACATGGGGTGCAGGGGATTTTTTTGCAACCCATTATTTGTCTTTTTAGACTGATATTTCTTATCATTAAAAATGTTTCAGTCTTGTCAAATGTTTTCATCATTTCTTTTGTTATATTTGAGTTATATGTTTATCTCATTTATTTTCTTCTGGTACTTTTAGAGGCTTTTTAAAAGAAAGTATTTAGCAATCTATCATGTATTTTTATCTATGGAGTATGACATGGAAGAATTGTCTCACATAAATAGGCAAATTATTAATGACATTATTGACTTCTCGATTCTTTCCCTATTAATTTGAAATTCAGTCAAATTGAATACTAAATTCCCATACAAACATAGATGAGTGGGTTTCTAGACATGCTATTATGTTGATATATTAGTCCACCCCATGTCAGCATCACCCTGTTTAAATTATCATACTATTACTTTGTATTTTGATAACTTACAGGATAATCTTTCTCTAATTTTTTTTCCTTTGTAAAATTATTTTGGCTCTTCATATGAACTCATTCTCCTGCATGAACTGTAGAATCAGCTATTGAAAATGAGTTTAAAGACGAAAAAGGAATGCTTCCACTGTGGGGTGTGTGTGTGTATGTGTGAGAGAAAGAAAGAGAGAGAGAGAGACAGAGAGAAAAGAGCACACATTAATTATAATATTTGCTGTTAGTTCCTGATGGAAACATTTTCTAAAGCTACTTAAGTGTCTTTGTATTCCTGACTTCCTAAAAGTTTTTTTGATTAATTCATTTGTTTTTTTAATGAGGAATGGATCTTTAATTTTATTAAGTGATTTTAAGGACTTTACTGGCTGCTAATGTGGATTTTGTTCTTTATTCTATTAATAAAACAAAAGTGAGTTAATTGATAGATTGCCCCATATTAAATATTGGATTCTTTTTCAATGACTAAGTTTTTCTCTTTACTTGAAAAAAATGTTTATTGATTAACTACAGATATGTATATTAAGCACTTCTCGAGATGGGTAACATGTTATATGCTCTAAAATGTAGTTACAGTTTTATTCAGTGTCATTAATTCCTATATATACATTATATTAATTAATTGGCTATATGTATACATTATAGATATAATGTTCATCTATACATTATAGATATAGTGTATATACAGATATAGATATATATACAGATATAGATATATATAGATATAATGTATATATAGCTCTTTCGAGGATGCTTTGCCTAGGGATTTTGTGAATACTTTTACTGGTGTGCATGTGGTCACATTTGAGTCAGCTCAGAAATGATTAAAATGGTGAATAAAGGGAAATTTGTTTTTAAATAACTGCATGTAGCCATGCTAATTCAAAGAGGTTAGGGTGTCACTTAAGAGACTGGGTGGATACTTCTGAGTTTTGGAGAAAATCAATCTCTTCCTGCTAATTGTAGACTTTTCTCTATTTACTTAAATTACCAGAATTACTGTGTTCAGTCTGGACCCCTTTAATTTGTTCATAATTGGGCTTGTGTGGGTGTTGAGTTGGAAGCTCTCAGGAGCTGAATAACACAGCTGCCTCTTTGGCCTTTGGCATAGGGTTTTCCCCCAAAGAGCTGCCCTTGTTGGCAGT